TTCTGGTTCCGGAGGATTTCCTTCTTCGAGTCTTCCCCGAACGAAACCAACCTGCCTTTGGACGATCATGAAGAGGACGCATAGACCACAGGTCTACCTTAGGGGTCTCGTAGGGCACCCCCGCGAGAATCTCCGGGGCGCTGTAGACGGGGGTTCCGCAGTAGGTCTCGCTCAGGTCTTCGCTGCTGTTCTTGGTGAAGTTGAAGTCGATGATCTTGAGGCTGTCGGCGGCGAGGACGAGCAGGTTCTCGCACTTGAGGTCCCGGTGACAGGTCCGGAGATCCCGGTACACTCCCGCCAGCACCTGATATCACCAGGTGAGATCCGGACCGCTCCTGCTGTCCCTGCGGCCGTCGCGGTTCAGCGTCTCCAGCAGATCTCCTTTCGGCGCTCAAGACCCAAGACGTAGACTGTGGACGGACGCCGATGCTGTGAATTCTGACGACTTTCGGATGCGACATCCGTCGCAAGACGGACAACTCCCGCGGAATGTACGTTTCGGCGAAACTTGCCGACACCGTGCGCTTGTCCATGATCTTGCATGCGAGAGGGGTTTCCATTCCGTCTTGGTCCGTGTAGGTGGCCTCTCGGTCCAGCCCGTACGAACCGGCTCCCAGGAATCGCCCCAGCGTGTAACCGAGGCGCCCGAGAGCAAACATTTCGCTGTACTGACGGCGAGGCTGCTGGAGGACGTCTAAGAAGCGGGTCAGGACGGCTTTAGTTGGGAGTGAGAAGGAAGAAGACAAGGAAGAAGAAAGGGAGGAGGAAGAAAACACGGAAGAGGAAGGGAAGGAAAAAGACAGGGAAGAAGAAGAAGAGAAGGAAAAAACCGAGTCTTGAGAAGGGAAGGAGGAAGAATCCTCCAAGCCGCTCCGCCTCGTGGATGTCGCCATTCGCCGGGCTCCTGTTGGCGTGCCGAGAGTGGTATCGCTGCGAGCGGTGACCTGAGACTGAGCGGTTTCCGGTCCTGTGACTCCTTTCCCCCATGGACTTCACCAGCATCGGTGCCTTTCTAATAGGCTGATTTCCCATTGGCTTCATCTTCTCGGGACTCTGATGCTGGACCTGGAACACGGATTTATCAAAAAAGCATAAAGTAAGAGAGAAATCATTTTCATGGCACACTTAGCAGAAAAAATGTTGGGATCGTATTACGAATTGTATGTACGAAGTCCACGACACGACAAGAATTGATGGCATCTGACTGTTGAATGCGTTGGATATTTTCAGATTTGCGTTGCACATAGTCTTACTTCGTGGTTTGGGTACCGCAATCGAAAACTTGCGGGCGTGTCGATCGAACAGAATGATGCGAATTTCCTAAAAGCCGTTACATAGATAATGTCGTCGCTTCGCTGGGCTCAGCTGTGACGCTTAGTCAAGAGTCTCCCCCGTTTTTTTTTTATTAAATAATTTTTTTACTGGCACGCCTCGTGTGATTTTGTCAAACTTATTACTCGCGTCGAAACGGGCAAAAACGAGCGGTTCGGTGCAGAATTATCTCATTTCCAGCGGTTCGTTATTAATGGCTTAATTTCACCGGCTTAATATCCTTTCGGCCGCCGCGAGGATTCCATGAAAGGCAAACCGAGCAGTTCCTTCAGAGAAATTTTCCTTATCAATCCGTAAATGTAAAGAGATTCCTCACGAACTGCCACGACTGCCTCGCGACTTTCCGCAGTCGGAGGAAACTTCGTCGCTTCGACAGGGTCTCGCGGCGAAGAGATGGCGGGAGGAAGAAAATGAATTTCCGAGAAGGGGACTTCCGAGAAGGGGATTTCCGAGAAGGGGATTTCCGAGAAGGGGATCGGAGGGGATTTCCTAGAAGCGTCACGAGGGCAAACCTTCTGAGGGCAAACCGGAACTAAGGAGAAAAAAACACGAAACGCAGGAAAAGTTCATTCCATACCCGTTTTTCTCCCCAGAGCTGCGTCGCCGTTGCCTTGCCGTCGCAAAATGGACTAGAGCCCTGCGCGGGGCGAAAACTGCCCGACTGAATACATCCTTTCGGTGAGCTTCCTGTCACCTTCGGCGCTCTCGTGTGACTGGTGACGAAATTCGTTCCACGCCGTTTCCGGAGTTTTTCACTGGGTAATTTCGATGAATAATGTTGCCTAAGTTTGTAAGTAAAAACGTTCATCATTTAAATTAGTATTTGAAAAATGTCCGTCCCATCCTGTTCCTCGAAGGAGGTGAGATCCGGCTGGATGTCCCGTCCCGCGCCGCGCTCCAAGGGCCATCGAGGTCGGTGGGGAATCCCCGGGCTCCCCTATATAAACGAAAAATTTCCATTTCGTCTCCCAATCAGTTCGTCGATCGCTTCCGACAGACATGAAGTTCTTGGTGAGTCCGAATTTCATTTTATCGAATTTTCTTGCTTCCGTTTTGACTGGGATTCGCTCATTTCCCTTCTGCGCCGATCGAGAACAGTTCGCTGGAATTCTTGGAGGTCTTCAGCTCTTTCCCCAGTGAAAATGTGGGTGGCTAAGAGCCCAAAAATTTTATCGAAAAGTTGAAATTAAAGGGACAGATGAAAGGAACGCTGGATATTGCCTGGGACAATATCCGATTGTGATTTCTTTTAAATCACATTTATTTCCTGCTTTCGCGAGACTTACTTTCCCATGAAATACCACGGACTAAAAATATTTCCTCACTCGTCGAACATTTTCCACTCGACTCGGACAACCGTGTATTGAGAGAATTAACGGCCCACACTTCCCAAACTTGGGCGCTTCAATTATTCAATTATTCAAAACACATTTATGAGGAACCGAAAATTAGGTAGATAAAATCAGCTGTGCACTTTGTCCAGCAATTGCGACTTCATGAACAGAATTTATTTTAATGTCAATAATGCCAGGGGATTTACCAAAAAAAAATTTTATGAGAAAATGTAATTTTCTGTCGCGAAACTCGCCGAACGCGACTTTCGCGGAGAAGTCCTGCGGAGTCCGCGTCTCCGAAGGCCATTTCCTCGATTCATTCGGGTGCTTCAACGACGTCGGCCTGATCGAGATGCAACCGTCGGCCTCGTGAGTCGGGTTGGCGCAGTTGGGGGGGGGGGGGGGG